GTGTCCTTGATGTGTAAGTAAGTAAGTAAGTAAGTAAATTTTATCTCATCCATAAAAAAAGGGTTATACACAATACAGTTACATAGAATTTATCATACATAGCCAGATTTGTGTATTAGAGAACCTGGATAACCAAAAAAGTCAGTCAGAGTGACTATTTCCTTGGGGTCCTTTTACCTTATTTTATAATATAAGGGTTATTATATTTTATTATTTTTCTAAATGAGTAACATCTTATTTTATATACTAAAAAGACTATCTATACACGAGGGTCATTAAGACTATCTACAATACGAGGGTCATTAAGACTATCTACTAGTACGCATGAGCTCTAGCGCCTTCAAATCTAGTGAGAGAACGTGGTAGGTCCTACATATGAAAGAATGGGTCTATGTGGTCATTGTCCGCTTATAAAAAACCATCTGCACAGACAGTGCATAATGAGAAAAAAAAAATCTACTTGACCGTGTTTTGGATTAATACAGCGATTTGCACTATATTTTCGAATGGTATTTATTGTTGTTATCTAGTTTTCCTGAGTTTCATTGTATAGAATGGAAGAATGTTAAGAAATTGAGATAATTTTGACTGGTTTTACAATGAAAAGTACCTTGAAATTGGCTCAAAATAGCAGGAAATGTTCGATTTTGACCAAAGGTTCAAAACGTAAACAAAATGTGCCTAAGCATCCCAATACACGTCAACTGGTGAGTCTAATATTCTTTCACAAGTGCGCAGATATTATTTATACCATTTCTACACTAATGTAGTAGTCTGCATAACAGTAATTCTTATTTTTTTTGTGAGAATAAAAATACTAAAGTGGAAAGCAAAAACGATGTAAGAGGGGCCTGGGGAAGTGACTAATGAACAGACGTAATTTATTTATGTGCCAGGAATGTCCTTCCTTGTTTATTCTGGACCTGTTGGAAATTGGCATCTTTTGAAATTTGTGTGAAAATTGGGCAAAATTGCTAAATTCTGACCACTTGACTGCGATAGTTGAATCGGTAATTGGTGGTTTCTTGTACTCAGTCGATAGAAAAATGGAGTTCTAGCGAAATAAATGTTATGATGTTTGTCGATAGTACTTGGAATGCCTAAAATAGGGTCAAAGTGCGGCAAAATCGCATGATGCGTTAAACATGCCGAGACCGTAAACTTCAGCCCGAAGAGATTTATTCCATAAAGTTTTCATCAAATTCATAATTTTGGTGTCATTTGATTGGGAAAAGATTCTCTATCTTTCATAAGAAAAAAATAATTTTTTTTTTTAATTTGGGGGACCTGAGGAGAACAAGTCTTTGAGAGGCCTGGTGGGACCTGAAAGGGTTAAAAAGTAAGTTTGTCTGCTCTGCAGATAGAGTATGTCTTGTTCACTAGACCACACCCCAGCCGCCTTTGGGATACTTTTTTTTTTTTTTTTTTATGCTCTGAGGGTTTTCTTAGTGGTAAACAAACATAGGCTTTAGCTTGAAATCTCTGGAGGCATTGGCACTTAACAGCAGAGTAAGCCTATCTGTCGTAGGCTTATACCCAGGCAGAGTTGCCTCCCCTCCTTTTGTGATTGAATGTTTGACACTGGCATTCTTTCAGAAGGAAGCACTGCCTTGTCCCATTATTGAGAAGAGACTTCTCCAATAACAGGCACTTCAAACTGTAGCTGAAGGCTTTCAGCAGCTTCCTTATTGACCCTGGAAGCCTCACTAGATCTCGCAACACTTTTATTATCAGCCTATTTCTTGAAACCCTCCAACTGCCCTTTGTGAGCTTTAAAATCGTCATATAGAGTAGCATCACTACTTGAGGGTGAATTATGTTTTAAATCATCATAAATATAATAATAATATAATATAGATTATTACTACAAGTTCATGTACAAGGTATACCGCTAGCTGACATCAATTGACCTACTACTAATAGGAAAACCCCTTGTTATAAGAACATAAGAAAGAAGGAACACTGCAAAAGGCCTACTGGTCCATGCGAGGCAGGTCCAATTCCCTACTGGTTAAGCTCCTGACTAGTTGAGGTCAGACGTCATTTACGGCGTGAGGCACAGCATCTAAACCTAAGTAGCACAAGCTAGTTAGCGGCCACTCAAACCATCCACAACCCACTCTTGTATTTATCCAACCTATTTTTTAAAACTACACGCGTCCTTGCTTCTATGACGGTACTCGAGTTGTTCCACTCATTCCCACAACTTTATACCAAACCAGTGCACTTCTATATCCTTCTGAAATCTGAATTTTCAATTTCAACCATTGCTGCGAAGTAAAGTCCTGTAAATAATTAGATATTTTTAGCAATATTGTATTTAATCCCTATTTAAATTCCTGTTTTCCATTTATACACCTCAATCATATCCCCCCTAATTCTATTGCCTTTCTAGAGAAGTGCAGATTCAGGCCTCAGTTATCCTCATAGGGAAGATTTCTGATACATGGAAATCAATTTGTCATCTTGCTTTGTTACATTTTCCAGCTGCATTTTTTTCCATTTGTATTACGGAGACCTAACTGTGAGCATAGTTAAATGAGGCTATCAAAGTTAAAGAGCTGAAGAACAACTGAGTACTTCTGTTTTTTAATTTTACTTCTTGCTATAAAGGCCAAGGATTCTGTTAACTTTATTGCGAAAAACGCTTATGCACTGTTGTTCAAGGTTTCAGATACTGCCTAACAAGAAACTCCTTAAATCCTTTGCCTTTTGCAACTCCGCAGTAGGTATCAATCTTAAGACCCCATCTCTCAATTAGCTTGTACGTGTGTGCACCCATGGGTATTTGCTGTCCAACATTTAGACTTTGCATTTGGTCTATATTTGGGCTTGCATTCTGCCAATTCTACGACCACCTTGCATCAGATTATTATAAATATCATTGGGTGCTCAATATCTCCTCGTTAGAATGAAAGTTGGACGGCCAGAGCATTTCAGGGCAAATTAGTGTCAGTTTTTTCCCAGGATGGACTCACACCAGTCGACTAACTCCCAGGTACCCCATTATTACGATGGGTGACATAGACAACGGGTTGTAAGGAAACACACCCAATGTTTCCACCATTTTCCTCCCCATTGCATGTTGAAATGAGAGCTATGCACACAGGCATGGTTGCATACTCAGATATCTTGCAGGCTCCTATCTCACTTTAAACTGCTTCCATCTCTTATTAATTTCTGGTCTTTGTTCAGGAGCTAAATTTGTCCGCCATTTTTTTAATGACTCAATTCTTTTTATTCTCTTTTTGCTTGATATGGTAAGATGGGTAATTGTAGAAAGCATGCTCACACTAATTGACAAATTCTAACTCATGTTTTTTCAATTTTTTTTGCTTGATTTTTAGTGAAGAAATTGCCTGTGTACTGCTTACTTTAGGGTCCATGATGACTTGAGTAACACAAAAGATGGCTTTAATAAATCATAAATTCAGTTATGATAGAACAAATAAGCCAGAGTGGTGTTAGGCAACCACACACAGGTAGCTTCAGGACTGAAGAGGAAACTGTAAACTGTATGTATACAACCTGCTATTGGCTTAAAGATGCTACCCCTATGACATTCATTTCCATCACTGATAGGATTGCCTAAAGTTAGCCCCCCCCACCCCCATCCCCACTGATGCTCCATAATGGCTCAGATGCTACCCAAGAGCGAGCTATTCATTTGCTCGCATATTGTATCTCAAATTTTTTCATCACAAACCTCAAAACTATCTAAATCTGGGCCACTACTATTTGCAATATTCTGGAGCATTTTATTAATTTTTTACAAGACAGTTGAGCTTGTCAAACTTTTAGATTCTAATTGAAAAATTTTGGTTTACCATTTGTGGGTAAGGAAAATTAAATAATTAGTGTAATGTAAAAGAATTAGAAAAAGAAATGGGGGTTGACAAAAGTTTTTATGCTACATATTAGCATAACAGTCATGGAGGAGCCTAGATAAAGTATTACAATGTTAGAGATGAGAATCCATTAACACTGACTGTTATTTCAGGAAGCCCAGGTTCAAACTAAATGATTACTTCCACAGAGTTCCATGAGAAATTCGTTCGAGGATAAAACAAAGCCTTTCAAGTGTTCAAAAACTAAAAGTTTTCTTCTACCAGATCCAGACTTTATTGGACATTTACTAAATCAATTAAAAACTGGTAGACTGGTGGTTGTTACACACTTTTCACTGCATCATGTGTTACCAGTTAATTCCCACTCAATTGTTACTTCCCAATAAATTGAGGAAAAGTTGGTCAAATTAGCTCTTTGACATTTACTGCATTTTATTAGGAAGAGATCACAAGTATTATCCTTAAAAGTGAAACAAAAATAAGCTGATAAATGTTGAATTTACATAAGTTTTTTATAATGATAACATTGAGTTAGATATTTGAAATATGTAGTAAAATTTGATTTACTGGCCTCAGTTTATCCCTGTTGAGGATCAGTGATATATGTTCGTGGTTTTGATCTCTGGTCAGTGCCATAGAATTACTGTCATAAGCTTGGCTCGCTCATGATATGCCGTGGGGGTAACTTTTGGATTTGATATCGAGGAAAATGGGTTTGTTGTGGCGAGTGTGCACGTTATGCACAGCCCACCCATGCAGTGTGATGGTTCAGCACTCGATACCATTGTGTTATTTTCATTTACCCTTTAGAAGACTGATTGACATCTGAATATTTTGTAATACTGAGGTAAACTTCCACATTTATTTGGTATTGTTCATACTAAAGATGATACAAAGCTAGGGTTAATGATCTTATGTATTGTCTGATATGACGGCTGAGAAGCAGTGTTTTTTTGTTAACTGACTTTTGAATTTGCAGAGACTGGGATTTGTTTTGGTTACTACCACACTTTGTGATCTGTTGCTAGAAATTGGAGTATCCATTTCCATACTTTTGTGCTGTTACTCCTTAGGTGTATTAAATGGCATTACAAAATCCACATGAATTACTGACTATATACTAGACAGTACTGTGTATAAATGTCATTGCAGATTGAGAGTGAAGTGAAGGAAATGGGTGGCAGCCTCAGCAGACTGATTGGTAATCAGCTTGGAACGCATACACAGAAGACTGTTTTAAACTCTATGGAAGATGTCAAACCTGAGTCTCATGTGTTACACACTGTTTCAGATGAGCTTACATCAGAGCATGCAGGTATTTAGCTGTTTATTCCAGGTATCCCATGTCTATACTGCTTTGCCTTCATGCCCAGTGAACCATCACTAGAATAACAACCTTATGGTAGTCTGTGTATTATTATACCAGTAGTAGACAATGTTGTTTGTTTTTTTAACCTGTTCAGCTTTTTTTTTTTTTTTTTTCATATTCTCACCTTGGTTGTCTGCACTGCCAGCTGCGTAAGCTTTAAGTACTATTTGGTTGCCCTCATCATTCAAGAAAGCTAAGCAAAAGGAATGGTGATAGGATGGGATTGCTTCTTGCATGGCATATAGGTCATATGCAAAAGGAAAAACTTGTGTGCATAACTAAAACAACAGAGGAGTCAGTTGTTATTAATGAGTTGGTTATTTGACCACTGTATGAGTGACCACTTCAAATGCTTATGGATATGTTATCTCTTAGGCAAAAGGATGTTAGAAACATCTTGGGAAACTAGTTTACTGCACAACTTTCCACATCCAGACAGTTAGTGTATGAGGGAATTCAACCAGAGTCCCCAGTTGGTCATGTCTTTTCACCTTCACAGTCAAAAGCAAAATGACCAACCAGCAAGAACAATCTCAACATTGACAGTTTTATAAATTGTTATTGGATAGTTATATGAACCGAATCAGTGAAAGCTAGGATCAGTTGGGCAGCCTAGTTAGTCCCTTAATAAATTCCCCAACGATGTTGAAGTGTGCAAGAAAGGTATAAAATACCGACAGTATGAAAGTTAAGACACATGTGCAACATCTGGATATCTTTATCGTAGATGTTTTGCCATCCAGTGGCTTTATCAATACAGATTCTAGGACATAAGAAGACAGTAGAACTATATACAAAAGATGAGGTAATCTACAATTACCGCTAGGAATTCAAGAATCCTACCTCATCAGCTATGATACATATAAACCAGGGGTGCCTTTTCAGAGAAATTCCCACAGTTTTGAGGGTTTGTTTCCCAGTGACTTTGGTGCTTCAGATTTTGTCTGCATGTACATTCCTTTCAAGAATGACGCCTGCCCTCCATTCACATTTAATTATCCTACATCAGATGGCTATATGGAGGCTTGACACTCTGGAGTCTGCTTTCTGTGGGAATGTTAAGGAAAGTACAGTGGTACCCCGAGTTTCGAACTTAATCTGTTCCAGGGGCTAGTTCTAAAGTCGCAATGTTCGAAACTCAAAGCAATATTTCCCATAAGGAATAATGTACACCCAGTTAATCCGCTTCAGACCCACAGAAATATTCACAAAAAATTAATTTTTTAAAGAATATAGTTTTACTTGCACAAAACATTTATAAATAAATATAGTACTTAAATGAGTAATGAAATAGATAAATAAACATTTAAAATAACATTTACCTACCTTTATTGAAAACTTGTTGGTATCTGGAAGATAAGGAGGAAGAGGAGAGAGAGGAAGGACTTATTATTGCCTCCACCACCGCAGCGCACTGCCTCGTATTTTTGTACAATTTCTTTCTTCACTTCTATGGTGTTTCTCACTTTCTTTACCAAAGGGCTTATTTCACAGTCACAATCAATAAACAAGCCACTAAACACAATGAATTTATTGTGAAATGTTTGGATGAGCATGCAGGGTAATGTTCATTCAAGGATAAATAAAGCTAGACTGGCTCACGATGCCTGCATGGGCGGGCGGACAGGTCTTGTATGCAGTTCGAGACACAGGGCACATTCAATTCTTGGGACAAAATTGGTGCGAAAAAAGAGGTCGAAACTTGAAGCATTCGATAGTCGATGACTTCGAAACTCGGGGTTCTGCTGTATTTCAGTTAATAAAACTAGCCAGCTCAGAAAACAAATTGGCTCTTCTAAGCTAACCTTGATGCACTAATCACAAACCTGAGCTCATTTAGTCTGTTATGTAAGGCTTTTTGAAATCTTAATCAATATTATTATTATATTAACACACTGGCCGATTCCCACCAAGGCAGGGTGGCCCGAAAAAGAAAAACTTTCACCATCATTCACTCCATCACTGTCTTGCCAGAAGGGTGCTTTACACTACAGTTTTTAAACTGCAACATTAACACCCCTCCTTCGGAGTGCAGGCACTGTACTTCCCATCTCCAGGACTCAAGTCCGGCCTGCCGGTTTCCCTGAATCCCTTCGTAAATGTTTCTTTGCTCACACTCCAACAGCACGCCAAGTATTAAAAACCATTTGTCTCCATTCACTCCTATCAACACGCTCACGCATGCCTGCTGGAAGTCCAAGCCCCTCGCACAACAAAAACCTCCTTTACCCCTCCCTCCAACCTTTCCTAGGCCGACCCCTACCCCGCCTTCCTTCCACTACAGACTGATACACTCTTGAAGTCATTCTGTTTTGCTCCATTCTCTCTACATGTCCGAACCACCTCAACAACCCTTCCTCAGCCCTCTGGGCAACAGTTTTGGTAATCCCGCACCTCCTCCTAACTTCCAAACTACGAATTCTCTGCATTATATTCACACCACACATTGCCCTCAGACATGACATCTCCACTGCCTCCAGCCTTCTCCTTGCTGCAACATTCATTACCCATGCTTCACACCCATATAAGAACGTTGGTAAAACTATACTCTCATACATTCCCCTCTTTTCTCCAAGGACAAAGTTATTTGTCTCCATTGACTCCTAAGTGCACCACTCACCCTTTTCCCCTCATCAATTCTATGATTCACCTCATCTTTCATAGTCCCATTCACTGACATGTCCACTCCCAAATATCTGAATATATTCACCACCTCCATACTCTCTCCCTCCAATCTGATATCCAATCTTTCATCACCTAATCTTTTTGTTATCCTCATAACCTTACTCTTTCCTGTATTCACTTTTAATTTTCTTCTTTTGCATACCCTACCAAATTCATCCACCAACCTCTGCAACTTCTCTTCAAAATCTCCCAAGAGCACAGTGTCATCAGCAAAGAGCAACTGTGACAACTCCCACTTTGTGTGATTCTTTATCTTTTAACTCCACGCCTCTTGCCAAGACCCTCACATTTACTTCTCTTACAACCTCATCTATAAATATATTAAACAACCACAGTGGCATCACACATCCTTGTTTAAGGCCTACTTTTACTGGGAAATAATCTCCCTCTTTCCTACATACTCTAACTTGAGCCTCACTATCCTCGTAAAAACTCTTCACTGCTTTCAGTAACCTACCTCCTACACCATACACTTGCAACATCTGCCACATTGCCCCCCCTATCTACCCTGTCATACGCCTTTTCCAAATCCATAAATGCCACAAAAACCTCTTTAGCCTTATCTAAATACTGTTCACTTGTATGTTTCACTGTAAACAGGTGGTCCACACACCCCCTACCGTTCCTAAAGCCTCCTTGTTCATCTGCTATCCTATTCTCCGTCTTATTCTTAATTCTTTCAATAATAACTCTACCATACACTTTACCAGGTATACTCAACAGACTTCTTTCTTTCTTTGAACACACCGGCCGTATCCCACCAAGGCAGGGTGGCCCAAAAAGAAAAACGAAAGTCTTCTTCTTTCTTTCAACACATCGGTCGTATCCCACCGAGGCAGGGTGGCCCAAAAGGAAAAACAAAAGCTTCTCCTTTTAAATTTAGTAATATATACAGGAGAAGGGGTTACTAAGACCCTTGCTCCTGGCATTTTAGTCGCCTCTTACAACACGCACGGCTTACGGAGGAAGAATTCTGTTCCACTTCCCCATGGAGATAAGAGGAAATAAACAAGAACTAGAAAGAAAATAGAAGAATACTCATAGGGGTGTGTATATATATGCTTGTACATGTATGTGTAGTGTGACCAAAGGGGTAAGTAGAAGTAGCAAGACATCCCTGAAATCTTGCAAGTTTTTGAGACAGAAAAAAAAGGCCCATCAGCAATCTTACCATCATGTAAAACAATTACAGGTTTTTGTTTCACACATCGTTTGGGCAGGACGGTAGTACCTCCCTGGGCAGTTGCTGTCTACCAACCTACTATCTAGGACTCAGCAGACTTCTTTATTATTATTATTATCACACTGGCCGATTCCCACCAAGGCAGGGTGGCCCGAAAAAGAAAAACTTTCACCATCATTCACTCCATCACTGTCTTGCCAGAAGGGTGCTTTGCACTACAGTTTTAAACTGCAACATTAACACCCCTCCTTCAGAGTGCAGGCACTGTACTTCCCATCTCCAGGACTTTAGTCCGGCCTGCCGGTTTCCCTGAATCCCTCCTAAAATGTTACTTTGCCCACACTCCAACAGCACGTCAAGTATTAAAAACCATTTGTCTCCATTCACTCCTATCAAACACGCTCACGCATGCCTGCTGGAAGTCCAACCCCCTCGCACACAAAAACCTCCTTTACCCCTCCCCCCAAACCCTTTTTCCTAGGCCGACCCTACCCCCTTCCCTTTCCCCAACTACAGACTGATACACTTTTGGAGTCATTCTGTTTCGCTCCATTCTCTCTACATGTCCGAACCACCTCAACAACCCTCCTCAGCCCTTGTGGACAACAGTTTTGGTAATCCCGCACATCCTCCTATTTCCCAAACTACGAATTCTTGCATTATATTCACACCACACATTGCCCTCAGACATGAATCTCCACTGCCTCCAGCCTTCTCCTCGCTGCAACATTCATCCCCCATGCTTCACACCCATATAAAGCGTTGGTAAAAACTTACTCTCATACATTCCCCTCTTTCCCTCCAAGGACAAAGTTCTTTGTCTCCACAGATCCTAAGTGCACCACTCACTTTTTTTTTCCCTCATCAATTCTATGATCACCCATCTTTCATAGACCCATCTGCTGACACTTTCCACCCCCAAAATATCTGAATACGTTCACCTCCTCCATACTCTCTCCCTCCAATCTGATATTCAATCTTTCATCACCTAATCTTTTTGTTATCCTCATAACCTTACCTTTCCTGTATTCACCTTTATTTTCTTCTTTTGCACACCCAAACCAAATTCATCCACCAA